AAAATGCTCTTTGAATTTCCTGTTTTTCTGGTTGATATACGACTTTGATGTTTTACTCGTATCTCTTTGTCGATTGCAGTTGATTGAGCCTTTTTGCCGAAATTTTATTAGATTAAATATTAAAGTCGAATATGCCAATATTCCTTTTTAAAATTCGATTATTCGATTTTATTAATTGTCAACTTACGTGATACGTAATTAATCATTCGGTACAAATATATTTTTAAGTTTATAAAGAAAAATAAATGTCTTGTAAGAATAAATTTTCTATGAAATTTGTATACTTAGAAATTCATGTTTATAAACGATAAAAGTATTAGCTTTTGTTTATTATACACGGATACAGGATTTAAATGAAAAAATATAAATATTTATTAAACAGCATTTTTTAGTAATTAAAATTTTGCATTTTCATAATTACATTAAATTTTATCGTTCATCGCCTAAATTTATTATAATACTTCAAAGTTTTTCATAATATCAATACAAAGTGCAAATTATTATTTCAGATATTTTTGCTTTGATTACGTTGTGTTTTATTATTCCATATACACAATTAACTTCCACCTATTGTATAAAGATAAAGATTAAATCTTTTACGATATTGTAGTTTTAATACTCGAAACAACATTAATTTATTATAATATAAGTAATTTTGCGAATTAAAATGATTAAATACGTATATGTAGACTTATTTTTTTATGCTATAATATTTGAAATTAATTTGTATGTTTTATAATAATTGCAAATGTACAGTAACGATAATAGGAATACTTTCTAATAACCAATCATTGGAGGCATTTTAATTGAATGTAATCGAATATAAAAGCTAGTTTTATTGCAATGGGACAGAACACGACAAGTTCCACTATTAAAGAAAACAATTAAAGAAATTTTAATTTGAAATGAAATAAGAATTTTCATTTTATATAAGACGAGGAATGAAATACAACAAAGCTGCTTTTTTTCTTTTTTTTTTTAACACAATCACTATTTTTTATTTTTAAAATTAATTTAGAAGGTACATTTATATACATAAAAAAATGTATGACTATTACAATTAACGGCATGTTTAACATAGATATTCGTCAACGTATGTAACGTTTCGTGCTTGATCAATAACATTATTAATTATGGGCTTACGTTGCCTATTTAATTATATATTCAATTAAATTTTATGTAAACGTGCGCATGCACATGCAAGCGCGCATAATTTTATATATATATGTGCGTGTGCGCGCGTATGCATATAATTTTTGCACTTCACCAACGCATTCTTCACTTTTATTCATCACAATTTATCTCGTACGTATTCACACATGCTTTAAAACATAATTTTTATAGCAATTTACTACGAATGATACCGGAATGTCACAAGTTTATCATTTCATTTAAAGCTTTGAAGAAACAGAACACAAACAAAATATTGCCTTTTATGGAGTAAAATATTCAAGTTTGTAGGCCTGCTTTTGCCTCTCCAAAGGCTAAGGACGAAATTTACTCGCTTCGTTTGCACGCCTACACATATTTATAAACTTGGTGTTTATACGTTAACGACATAACAAACGATGAGAGTTACGGTTGCGACAAGTGTCGACAGATCTTTAAAAATTTATTTGGACGATTTAAACCTACAATATATAACATAGCTTTTTTTCTTTCTTTCTTTTTTTTTTTTTTTTTTTTGCTTTCCAACTTAAGTCAAAGTTATCAATAATTAGTGTTTTATGTTTATTATTATCATTAATTCTAAGCATAAGTTATTTATATACGCACTATATAAATAAATGTGCTCGCGAGTCATTAGGTTGCGCTTAGAGCTATGTAATATTACACTGACATACAATGCATACACGTATAGGCTGCGCTCTCGCAATTGCACTTATTCGTTTCCAAACATAATATCGATGCGATTGTTATTTTTTCATATTTTTTGTCACCTCCTTTTCATTGTCAAAATAAAATTTTTTCACGAGCAACATATATTTTATCAGACACTTGAGATTCTTACACTGCCTGTCTTCATTTTACAAACTAACGTTACGTTAATAATTGCGCAATATACATATATATTCAATACAATATTTAATGTGTTGTGCGCGCGCATAGGGTTTATTTATACTTTTCGTTTGCTTAATCGTTCGATAATAAATTTCTCCATAATTCATTTAATTTTTCATATCTTGATTCTCTTATTCATTTATTTATCTATTTATTTATTTATTTTTTTCTTGTTTTTGTTTTGCTCAACGTCGTAAGATGCATGACGTAAAAATAAATGCTCCTATTCTTACCGCAAAAGATTTTTTTTTCGTTCTAAAGCTGTTCTCCTGTTTTTTATTATTCACTTTTCGTAAACTTTGCAAACTGACCAAATTAACCACAATGTTCGAACAATCAATATATTATCGTCGATGATATCATTTCACTTAGAAATAGCTTTAATTAATCGTTTTACAAAATATCACAAAAATCGCATCACCTTTTGTTCGCAGCAGGAAACTAAGTAAATCTTAACGAGAATCGCATGCGCGCGTATACATTCTACGTTCCACCATTCTCCAAAACAAATCTCGCACATCCATCTAACGCGTATATTTATGTTTATATTTAATTCTCGGCCAAGCGAAAGAAAAAGAAACCTAAGAGTGCCGTGCGTCCAGCGCCAGCATACCACGAAATCACTTACATGCTATATTCTTTCTGATATTTTACTCCATTCGTTTGTTTTTTTTTCCTTTTTTGTTTCATTTTATTCGCGAATCCCCAGGATTACTAGGCAGATGCGTTGAAGATCGATCAAAACAAATTTTTCGCGGGGAGCGGTATTGTTATGCACAACGACGAAATTGGTAAATGTAAATCGAAATTAGTGTTCATAAATGATCGACGTATAGTACGAGGTATTCATCGATTTCTAATACATTCAATAAAGTCATTGGCGGTATCGTTGACGAGTGCTTCTTTTACCTTTGCCTCGATATATTATTAAAAAAATAGTCAGTCGACAGCAATTATCATTAGTTATAACACCTCAACGCTCCTTCGATTATAGACAGTTTACATTGTTGTATTCTCATATACAAGAAATTTTCCGCAGTAAACTTTAAAAGACACTGTATATACACTTACATAATCCTCTCACTCCTTTTCACACGCCTATTCTTACGCTCTCCCTCCCTCTCTACCTCGCCCAATAGCCTCGCTCACACACGCGCACAATCGCTCTCTAGCTCGTCTTTTCTCTCCCTCTCAACGATCTCACGCTTACATTTGTATTCGTCGTCCGCGGAATAATGGACGTTAAGTAGTCATTCGTTGTCCTTCGACCGTTAAAAGAAAATCGAGGCTGTAAATCGCTTCGAGAAAGAAAATAAAGAGAGGATCGTAGCAGTGCGTAAGTGTGCATACGCACGGGTGTTGCGCGCAATGAAATATATATATATATATATATATATATATATATATAATGAGTGGGGGGGGGAGGGAAGATAGAGAGAGAGAGAGAGAGAGAGAGAGAGAGAGAGAAAATAACCCCGGGTACGTAGGTCGCGCGCATGGATTTTGTCAACTTTACAAATGTCATGTGCGCAAGGGAAACAACATTAACAACGACGACGGGTATGGAAACCGATCTGTGGCACGTCCTGGACTTCGTCCTTCGGTACCCTTCGGCATAATCATCATTCGTTATCGTGTTTCCTCGGTAATCGTCGTTTAGCAAGCCTCGTAGCCTGTGGTCGAGTCCCGGAGTCATGGTTTCGCGCCACTTGACCTCGTGAGACTTGGCGCCAC